GAACCCATGGGAGACAGCCCTGGAAAGATGTGTCCAGGAGCTGGTTGACTTTCAAGAATCACCTTTTCCAACATCAAAAATGGCCCACATATAGGAAATTGAGAAAAAGCAGGTGGATCTCCTGACAAAACTCAGACATAACAAGGAAGAACATGTGAATGGTAAGGAAGGACAAGTCAACTGGGAGGAATAGAGACACTGCCTGAGGTGTAAGGATTGGGTTAAGAAAGCCTAAGCCCAATTGGAGTTGAATCTGGCTAGAGATGTTAAGAGCAACATGAAGGGCTTCTACAGGTCTATCAGCAGCAGCAGATGTGGGAAAATGTGGGCCCAGCGCTGAATTGGGCAGGCAGGAGGTCCAGTGGCAAAGGACGTGAAAGAGGTGGAGGTGCTTGATGGTTTTTTCCACCTCAGTCTTTTCTGGAATGATGGCATTTGGGATCCCAGGCTCCTTAGTCCAATGGGAAAGACTGGTGGAGGGAAGACTTGCCTTCAGTGGAGGAGGATCAGGTTAGGCAACGCTTAAACAAACTGGACATCCACAAGTCTATGGGGCATGACAGTATGTGTCCATGAGAAGCTGTGTGTGTTGAAGAGGCTGGCTGATGTCATTGTAAGGCCACACTTGATAGTCTTTGGAAGGTCGTGGTTATTGAGTGAGGGTTCTGAGAACTGGAAGTAAACAAATTTCACTCATCTTAAAAAAGCCAAAAAAAGGAGATCGAAAGAGCTATAGGATGGCCAGCCCAGCCTCATCTCAATCCCTGGGAGACTGACACAGCAAATAATTCTGGAAGACATTTGCAAACATTAATCACAGAATGTGATTGGAAGTAGTCAGCATGTATTAAGAAAGAGGAAATCATTCCTGCCCAACCCAACAGCCTTTTACAAAGAGATGACTGGCTTGATGGACAAAGGAGTACGATCTTGATTTTAGCAAGGCTGTTTCCTGTAACATTCTCACTGATGAAGTACAAGCTAGATAAATGGATGGTGAAACTGAAAACTGGCTGAACTGCCAAGCTCAAAGGGTTGTGATTAGTGCCAGGAAGTCCAGCTGGAGGCCCGTTTCAAGTAATGTGCAATAAGGGTTCATACTGGGTCCAGTGCCATTTCACATCTTGATTAATTGGCTGAACAGGGTGCTCCCCTGTCAAGTTTGCAAACAATGCAAACTTGGGAGAAGTGGCTGATACACTAGAGGATCATGCTGCCATTTAGAGGGACCCTCCACAGGCTGGAGAAACAGGCTGACAGGAACCTCATGAAGTTCAACAAAAGCAAATGTGAAGTCCCACACCTGGAAAGGAATAACCTGTTGATGAATGTGCTTTTTCCCTCTATTTAGCAGTGCTGATGCCACACCTGGAGTGTTGTCTCCACACCTGGGCTCCCCAGTACAAGAATGAAATTGACATACTGGAGCAAGTCCAGCAAATTGCTGCAAAGATGAATTAAAGGATTATAACATTTGTCATATGAGGAGAGATGGCTTTTTCCTGCTGTCATCTCTGAGCAGTTGGGGGAAGTGCATGAAGCCCTGTTTCCTACAAGTCTCATCAAGCAGATACCATGCAAATGAGGTATTGGAATAATTTAAATGAACAGAGCCATACCTTGTTTCCTGGTGATCAGATATGTAAGTCTATCTTATGAAACTGGTTCTTGGCAGGATTTCTTTAGTTATCACATCAGCAGGTATGGAATAATGAAGTATCTGTATGGATGTTTAGGCTTCAATGTATCTGCTATTTCTATACAAAGAACTTGTCTCCTGTTATTGATAAGGCTTTTTAAGATAAAAGAAGTGGACAATTGAAGAGTAGGTGAAGGAATCCAGACACAACTTGGAGAACTGTCTACTGCTGCTTATTCGTCATCCCAAGAGAACCAAAGAGCTTGATCATAAAGAAGGGTTCAAGCTTATTCAAAGCAATAAGCAGTCATCATACATACCTTTTGATTGTAAGGTCTCAAGTATCTGTCGTTTCACTTTTCCTTTACAGCTCTTGACCTTTTTGACTGTTTAGCCTTCAAACCACTGGTTTCCATTTCTTCAAAAATATTGATGAAAACTTGACCATTGAAGAAAGAACAAAAAGCTTTCCTGTAAGGGAGGAAAAAAACCTAAGCTAAACAAAGAATTGCAGAACTACATTTGAGCAGAGTTCAGCTATTTGTGAAAGGACATGGAGAACTCTGCAGATACGTGCATAGCACTGCGGGCACTCAGGGAAAGACGATGACAGGGCCAAATCCTAGCTGAAAGTTTGTGCAGGTTTGTGGAAGAGAGGTGCTGATGACATTCCTGGTAGAGAATGTAGAATGTGCTTTAAGTTGCTTGACTTACAGTCAGAAATTGGGCGCTAGAGACTAGCAGTGCCACTGGGAAAATGAAGGTGCTGTCATGGCTTGCAGGAGGAAGCTGTTGCAATTACAGGTCTGCTGTACTTTGCACTTCACCACTTATGCTACATTTTACTTCCCTTCCTTACCCGTCTTTTGTATACCTGCAGATAAGTTCTGAAGGGATGTCTCATACTGCACGGGTGTACTTTCTGCTGCTTCTACTTGCACTTCCTATTCCAGGACTATAACTTTCTGTTTTTAAAGAAAAAAAAAATCTTCCTCTGCTGCCAAATCCTCTTCCAAGAACCCTTGCTGTTGTTTTCCAGTCTTTCAGCTGTGCATGCTTGTGCCTTTGAGTAGCTGTTTTCATCCACATGTGCTGGGACCTCTAAGCCAACAACATCAAATTGGCTGTTGTTCCCTCCTCAGCCAGGTTGGGGACCCTGCAAAAGGAATGGCTATCATCTCTATGCTTCTCTACTGACACGATGGCCAAGAGCTAGCAGCATATCCAGGAAGAAAAGGAAAAATATCCTTACCACCTGTTGGCATGAGAAATGATGGATGCTGAAGCAGCACAGAGGGATCTGCAAAACAGACTTGCTAATCTGGGAGCCTGAGTCTGGCTTCTGGCATGTCTTGAAGATCCCTGTAATGCATACACCCTCCCTCCTCTGGCAAACTCGACTCCTAGAGGTCTTCTTCTTTAGTACAACTTTTTCACTTGTCTTTCATTTCCTCCTAGTTCTCAAAAGAGGCAAATTGACCTCAAATTAAGAAGAATCCCAGAATAACCTCTAGAGAGTGTGATGTCTGTGACCAGGGGCAAGATCTAGTCCATTTGTTGGCATAGGTTCCTTCGTTGTTTTGATCCCCCAAAGGTCTAGATTTCAGTCATACTGCTCTGCCTTCCCTCCCCCCCGTGATAGTTCCTTTCATACATGGTTTTCTCCCTCAGACAAAGCAAATCTGTAGTTTTCAGTATGTTCAAATGTGATCAAACACAGTGAATGCACACAGGGAAACTCATCGTACTACAACAATCTCTGCTATGAATCTGGCTTGAGGCTGGATTTAGGAATGTTCAAGTTCCTATCAACCTCTCATGCTGTCAAACTTTCCTAGTTATGTAACAATTTGATGGATAGAGGCAGTTTGCCATTTTATTGAAATGCGTCAAAAATATAACCATGCAGGTAGAGGGTGGATGAAAAAATGCAAATGGATGATAACTGCAACCTGTTATCTGTATGTGCTGGTGGGGGAAGAGACATCTATGATTCTGTGCCCATGCAGCTTGTAAGTTTTATGCTAAGTAGTCACAGAAGAGACAAATAGAGGGAGAGAGATAATTCAGGGTGTAGGGGGCAGAGATTTGCATTTTTTCACTCCTAGCTGAATTTGGTGAATGCAAATCAAAATATTTTTTACTTTTTTTTTTTAATCTGTCCTCAGAGATTTTACACTGCTAGCCGCACTGTGGCCCACTTCATGGTGGCTCCTTTATTTTTGTATACACTCCTATACAATACTCCTTAGATACTCTATGGCCTTATTATGAGGCTTCTGTGGAAAGTGATCGATCCAAATCTGAACCACTTCAAAATCAGGAAGGAAGTGGATTCAGGTGAGTTACTGCACAGAGGAATGCTTTACCTCCTGGGCTACTATGTAAAAGTTGATGACTGCACCATGACTACTACTCCTTCCATTATGTTCTTGAATAAAAGTGTGACTGCTCACTGGGGGTGTACGGACAACTTCAGCTTTCCTAATGAATTACACCCAAGCAGACTTGGGGTCACTTAATCTGTAGATCTCAAATGGCCTCCAGCAACATAAAGATGGCCATATACCAAGATGATAAACAGCTTCTGAGCCTGTTTAAAAGAGCTCTGGGCAAAAGATAGAGTACCTATAATATTTCAGATATCTCACTGAGTTAAATGAGTGTACATGGATTGTTTTCTTGCATGTATACAGCAGTCCAGGTTCCAGTTTTGTGTTATCTTTTAACTTCCCTTAAGTGCTCTGTAAAATTAATGAACTAAGACCTACAGATTTATTTTGAGGTAGGTGAGAAATACTATATATACGTTACTGTTGATTAAGAGAAGACACTGTGAGACTGCTTACAGACTTCAGACACTGGCACAATCGGGACTACTACCGAGCATACTCATTCTGATCCATGACTCACTGGATACCATTCTGCTGTCAGTTTTGCACCTACTTTTTATATATGTACAATTTTATATACATACAGTTTATTTCCTCTATGATTGTGCATTATGCTTTTGCTTCATAGGGGAACTTCATTCAAAGATTACAATACATTCAAAACCACAAATGGTATTTGTTTCATGGTTAGAAATTAAACATTTATCATATCTTACTTTATCTGTATTTCTCTCTTTTCTGCATTAGGCCTCAGAAGTTGTTGAAAGGTTTCCTGCAGCCTGAAATGATGGAGAGCCTCATATAAAGGACACCCCAAATTTACACCTAAGGAATATTGCTTAATAGGTATTAATCTGAAGTAATATATTGTATGGTAAAGCTTTCGACAGACAACCAACCTTCTAACACCCAGAGAGCATTTAATTTTTGTCCAATCAAAACCACCTAATGTCACTGCACATGCTACAATGGAAACTCTAAGACAAATACAAAGTTTTGGTATCTGTGTAACCTATACATATTTTGTAGCATCTGGTATGGTGTTTGCCACTCTTCTAGTTTCTTGCTGCTCACCTCTGAACATGAGAGCTCGTCCACTTGTTCCTAATTCACCCTTCCTTTCTGTCTGGAACGCTCCTACAGAGCTTTGTACTGAAAGGACTGGAGTACAGCTGGACATGAATTTTTTTTCTTTCATTGGAAGCACACTGAAGACATCCACTGGGCAAAACATCACTCTTTTCTATCCAGACAGGCTTGGCTACTATCCTTACAAAAATGAAGTCACAGGAGAGTCGTTAAATGGAGGACTCCCTCAACTCTCACTGCTGGAGGCTCATTTAAAGAAAGCCAAAGAGGACATCCAGTTCTATATTCCTTCAGATGAACAGTTTGGGTTGGCTGTCATTGACTGGGAAAACTGGAGACCTGTGTGGATAAGGAACTGGGGATCAAAAGACATTTATAGACAGGACAGAGAGACCTCAGTCTATCAGAAGCCGAAGCCAGGATTATAGCTAAAATGGAATTTGAAGCTGCAGCAAAATCAATTATGTTGGAGTCTTTAAAGCTGGGCATAGAAATGAAGCCAAATCGTCTGTGGGGATATTACCTTTATCCAGACTGTTATAACTATGATTACAAACAAAACCCACATAATTACACAGGGACCTGTTTAGATATTGAAATAGAAAGAAATAATGAGCTTAATTGGTTGTGGGAGAAAAGCACAGCACTTTATCCATCTATCTATCTAGAGACAGCCTTAAGATCTTCCAAAAATGCCCAGCTCTTTGTTCGCAACAGAGTTCAAGAAGCCATTAGAATTTCTTATGTCTCTAATTCTACTCACCCTCTTCCAGTTTTTGTATATACACGCCCAGTGTTCACAGATGTGTATGAGGAATATCTCTCCCAGGTGAGTGGAGCTAGACTTTAAATACGGCTTAAAAGGTAATGAGAAAATTCTGTCCCTAGTTGTACTCAAGTAGCTTTCTAAATAGTATTTCATCATCTCATGGGTTAGACAAAGTTAAGCTCTGATTAAGGTCTAATCATCTTATTGCACTTATGGCTACACTTTCTCCTTCATATTTTTATATACACCTACCCTACCAGAGATACCACCAATTTGGGGAACCTCTTCCTGACCCTCCATGAGGAAAGGGAAGTTAGAGGTGATGCTGGTGAGTGCATTGCATCTGGTGTCCTCTCACATTCTGGGTAGAGCATTGCCCCCAGCTCTGTGGATACCTTTGAGGAGCAAGGGGTGCTGTCAGCATCCCTACGGGATTCCTAATCTATCATTTAAATCCCGTAATCCTTACATTCTTCCTTTTCATGTGCTGTGTTTTTCCCTTGTTCTTTTTCTACCCATAGTCCTCTTCCAGGCCAGATGGGCTTTAAGATTTTGTTAGGGCTGGGCTAATAGCTGATGTTTGAACAGAAACAAATTTCCCAAATTAATCTCCTCTGGAGAAAAGAGATTCCTGTTGACGAAAACTCTTTCTTGTGCTACTTTTCTGCTTTAGAACTTTCTGGTTACTGAAAGAGAGTTTAAAAAAATCACACACGCAAAAAAAAACCAAACCCAAAAACCAAATCAAGCAAGCAACCAAAAAACCTGTGCTGTCCAGCCTTTGCTTCAGGCAGCATTACTGAAACCAGCTTCTACCAACTCTTATCAATATCAAGGCAATGCAGCAAAATATAATTTAGAATGGTTGGAGGAGTGTATGTCATATGCCTAACCACTGTCTCAGTTTTACAGCCTTGTTTTTCTAACCAGATGACATACATAAATTGGATACAGTTGGCAATATTTTCTGGTGTCACCTGTGCAACCCAATCCCAGAATAAAACAGTGTAATTGAGAGCAGAATATTTGCATAGTGTATAATTACTTGCTGTCTTCAAAGTAGTTATTTTGGATATGTAATTTACTACACACATTATAGCTTTTGCCCTTATGTTATAGCTTATTTACATCAGTATGATTCTTTGCACGTTTCCCCTCAGGATGACCTGGTAAATACTATCGGAGAATCTGCTGCACTGGGTGCTTCTGGAATTGTGATCTGGGGTGATATGAATTTAACACAAAATAAGGTATGCCAGATTAATTATTACATGACATTTTTAAAGAACTCTGAAGTGAGAAGGATATAAAGCATTATGATTACTTACATGAGATCTTCTACATTTATAATAATGACTCTATATTGCCAGCAGTCTTCTCTAGTCAAAAAGCAAGCACATTTGAGGCTTAAGAAGTTTGTCATTGACTACACAGAGTAAGAGTACAATTCTTCAAAGTATCAGCTTTGGCTCTGAGCAACTGGACAAGCTACTGTGGTAACTGTAGGCAAGTTAGCACTTCTTTACTTAATTTAAGGAAATAATTCCTGTATCTTCATTACATTCCAGTCTTGAGGTACAGAAAAAAATTACTTGTGCTTGCCCAAAACAATTTTTAAAAGACTCTTCTACTTTTTGAAGTAGTGCATTTAGCAATAATATTTGAAGTACGAGGAGTCAGTCTGCAAAATTTCAGCTTTAGCCTGTTGTGTTTGTTGGAAGTAGTACTTTGATTAATTTTATGGTAAGAAGGATTTGGGTCAGAAAAGGGCAAAAAATCCAGTTGGTTTTAGGAAGGTCAAATACATAGTTTGAGAAAAGTTCTTACAAGGATGTTCAAATAAATCTTTTGAACTAGCTCATTCATACCCAGGCAAGCTAGATATAATAAACTACTGTATGGGAAGACTCTTCTGAAGTCTTCTAAGAGCAATGAACTGAAACTCTAAAGCAGTGCTGGGCCTCCTGTCACAGAAAGCATAGCCAAATAAACCTCCCAGTTGTTAGGGTCAAATTCCCAAGGGCATCCAATCTTGACCTTTTTGTATGTGCCTGCCTTTGAGAAAGGATATCAGTTGCACTTGAAGCTTTTTTTTTTCCCCATTACAGCAATACCAGACCACAGATGAGCAACAACTTTTATTGCTTGAATTTTGAGATTCACATGAGGAAATAGAACTTCCCACAGCCCAGTCAGACTATGTGCACTAATCACACCTTTTTTTTTGCAGCCATCAGTCAGTAGCCTTTCAGCAATGAAATATTACTGTGATACTCCCTTCTGCAAGAATTGCATCAACCAAAACTTTTAGGCAGGGTTTTTATATATACCTAAAAGAAAACCAAAAAACCTTCCTATACCTCAGATTCACCAAAGAGATCTCCACAGGTGTAAATATTAGCTATATCTATATGTGGTATTAGGCAAATGCCCTAAGGAAACAGTGTCAGAAACAGAGTTTCCAAAGCCTCTGATTATTGAACTGTCAAGCATACACAGAATATATGCCAGCTTTGTGATCAATTAAAATGATCAATTCTCTTAGCGTACATTCAGTTTGACCATCCTCCCAAAATGCTTTCCATTCAAAAATGCTGTGAAAGCTCCCTTCTCCTGCAGCCTAGCTATTCAGGGCAGGGGAAAAATGGAGTCTCATACAGGTGATTTCATAGAAAAATTATTTGTTCAGGCTGAAGAAGTGAGGTTTTCTTCCAAGATCCCTTCAAACCATTCAAGACATAAAAAAGAACTTCGATCCTTCATGTAACTTCTTTAAATGCATCTGATTCAAGAAGCTACATGAAATATACAGATAAAATGAAAGCTTAAAGTCATCGGCTTTCTGATATAAGTGCTTTTCATCACATCTCCAGCAACTACCTACTCAAATGCACTGTGATCCTTGAACTGTGTAGCTATTTCTCAGATAAACTTGCTTCCAACAACTAGTTGGAATAGATATCCACTACAGTACAGTGTTGTTAGAATGACAGCATTTTAATGGTTTCCAAACTAAACTATGCAGATATGATCTTTTCACAGAACACCTGCAGAACCCTGGACAACTACCTTAGGAGGACCTTGACCCCATACCTCATCAATGTCACAATGGCAGCCAGAATCTGTAGCCAGGTATTATGCAAAGACTCTGGTGCCTGTGCACGGAAAAAATGGAATTCCAGTGACTATCTTCACTTGAACTCTGAGAATATTGTCATTCAAATGACAAAGGATGGAAAATACACTCTACAAGGGCAGCCAGCATTTCAGGATCTGCAAACATTCATAGAAAAATTTGATTGCCACTGTTATGCAGGGCACAGTTGTGAACCCAGAGCTGATATAAATGACATCCATTACCTCCATGCTTGCATTTCAGAAGATATTTGCATTCAGATATCCTCAAATGCACTTTCTAATATAGAAGACTCTGAAGAAATGATCCTGTCTAACAGAACTGTATTTTCGTTTACCTCTCAGAGTAAGGTGACATTATCTACACATCCTGAAACAGAAGATTTCCAATCTACCTTTGAAAATAATATACTCAATATAACAATGCCAGAACATAGCATTGTCACAGCTGCAACTAGATATGATTTAGAAGCAAATGATACCCGTACTTCCAGTAATTCTTCATCCTATAAGATAAGGATGTTTAATCTGTTGAGTTTAATTCTAATTTTGAGAACATTAATACAATGACCTGTGAAAGAGAGAATATTCTTTTCTCTGGCTGTCTTTCTAATTCTGAAGGGTTTATATACGAAGAAAAATCATTCCTGAAAAGCATATGGTCTTATCTGTATCAGGTAACCTTTTCTATTGCATAGGTGACACTTCAGCTTGAATGTATTTCTTCAGTTTAGTTCTATAAACTACTATTTGTGCCAAAGATATACTGATCTGTAAATACGGATTACACCAAAGGATAATCCAGAATAAGGAACTTTTTTTACAGTTTATATTTTTAACAGTTATCTTGGGAAAAAAAAAATAATTGTTGATAATGCTATTTTGTATACTTCAAGTTGAGCCAGTTTAATACATCTCAACCTGGATTTCACTGAGTCTCAGCTTTACACAGGTTTGGTGCTTTACATAAGAATTAATTTTATTCCATATGAAAATCAGCTCTTAAAAATATTTGACTTAATTTTAGATCTGTGGGACTTTGCAGCATAAAATTTATCTGATTAATGTGATGTTTCTCCGCTTTTAACAATACCTACAGGGACACTTTGGTTTTTCTTTTAATTAATTATATTCACAAGTCTTCAAAAGGTTCTGACTTTAATGTAAATATTCACTTCAAGTATTACAGCATCATTATTTAGAATATGAGCTGTAGCAGTTTATCCTTCCTTCTTTCTTTCCTCTTCTTCTCCCAAGCCCTCCCCTCCTTATCTCAGATGTCCCATCCTTGGCTTTCACTTGTTTTGTCTGGTGAATGCTCACAACTCATCTGATCTGCCTTTGCATTCCCTGTGAGCTCTGGTCACTAGTCTCTGTCCAGCCAGTCCTAGCAATGGGACAGGGCTGTCTGTGCCATTTGGATAAAAGCCTTTGAGCATAAGTCTTTCCTGAGCAGTCTCTGGTGGAAACCAGTTTGTCCCGCAGGAAAACCCAGCAGTGGAGGCTGCAAGATGAGTGGCACTGGGGACCTGGCACTCCCTTTCTTCACCTCCAGACTCTGTGATTCCTAATCTCAGGACTACCTTTTTGATCCAGTCTGCTGACAGCACTAAAACTATTTGCATAATGTTATTCTATTGCCAAAAGCAGTGTGAAAGTAGCAGAGATACCTCAGAAGAAAACTACTCCCAGTATCATATCAGCAGTCTATTTATGATTTATATATAGTCAGTTTAAGCATTTGGAAGCAATTAACTGCAGTTTATTAGATAAAATAACCTTTTCAAATTATTATGTCAGATACTTACTAAGCTGCTGGACTTCTGATGGGTGAAGAGTAGCTGCTGGCATGGATACATTAAAAAGTCTCCCCAGAGCTAGGCATGATATTCATCAATAAATCACCACCTCCCACAGATGCAACCTGCCTCACTAATGGAAATGCCTAGGGTTTCAGTATATAGTAGCCCTTTATTTATGAAAAGTTCATGCCTTAATCTAGCAAAAGGCTTCAAATTTTCAGGTTGTCAGTCATAACAGACGTGTAGAAAAATAGATGAAGTCTTTAGATTTAACATGGAGAAATAATGTTTTTAGGCTTTTGGACAGCAAATTATCAAGAGGGAGTGACAATTTTGTCATCACAGTTATGGTGTTGACTCAAAGCTATTTCTGACATTAATATTCCAAGTAGAATCATGGATAAAAAATACATATGTAGCAGACTGACCCAAAAGAAGCCAGCTGATTTTGATCACCTCTGTAAAAACCTATTTCTTTTTCACTGCAACTTTGATATGGGTTATTTGATCTTGGGTAAACAAAAGCCATGGTATCATAATTACCGCACCTGATGTCCCTCCCCTTTCACACCAAGGTTGTGATAACTGGGTTATCAAAGAGTTTCCAAAAACTGGAAGCATCAAAAAAATAAAAAAGGCAGGAATGACAAGTTGAAATCACAGAAGAGTTGAGACAGAGCCAGAACCTCCCAGAGGATGCAGAGGAAGTGAATTGCAGAAGCGAAAGAGTGAAGCAGTGGGGAATGTGGACAGACCAGTCTCTTCCCATTCAACAGTTTTTATCTACCTGGCATTTAATACAGACAGCCTTTCCCTGAGGCCCACTGTAAAAGTAGAGGAAGACAGTAACTGATATTGTTAGATTACACCTGTCCATCTGATCCCATCTCTTGTTTCTTGAGAGCCAAGATCAGCAGAGGGATATGAAAGGAAAGCAGAATATTGCAATAAAATGTCCACAGAAATGTGTCTTTATATAAATAGCTGTCAGTCTTATGCTCCAATACACAGTCCTTTACCAACCACCTTTAGAATGCTCATTTGGGATATTTATGTTACCTACACATATCTGCAATTCATGCTTGAAGTCCTACAGACTTCTTGCCATAGTGAGATTCAGGCTGGCTACATACTGTGTAAAATTACAGTATTTTCCAAATATTTTGTTCCGTATTATATTTGTCTTGCCCATATTCTATGCTAAAGAGTCACATGGAGTCAGAGAGCCTCCATGGAATAAGGAAGAAGTAAAGAACAAAAAGGGGCGCTATGCCTTGCATTGCTGGTGACTATGTTACATTCAAAGCCGATCCTGTATTCTCCCGAAGTGGACTCTCCTACCCCCAAAATTCCCCTTTCATTCACTGCATCTCCTGTAATAATTAGTTGTCTCTGCAGCCCTGTAGTTTCAGTTTCTTATGTTGTATTTTTCAAAAGATTAAATACTAGAGGAACATTCATTTCACTTTTGATTGCCATTCATTATTTTGTATGTCTCCCTCATAGTAAGATTTCAGGCTGGCAATACTTAGGGACTGGGAAATGCTAAACCAATTTTGATGAAATGGTCTAAAAGAAAGTTAAGTACCTCAAGTGCCCTCCTCCAATGCCTAGAAGTTTTATTAAAATTTTATCTGAAATTCTGTCTCTCTATCTGAAGAATCTGGATCTGTTTTATTGTGTTGCTTACTCTGGGACACCCAAAGCTATTGGCATTTTTAAGAGAGGTACCTATTGGCACAGAATCTGAACAGAAGTGAAATTATAGTCTAGACCCTGCCTTACAGTTTCTTGCTTCTCTGTATTAAAAATAACAACATAGAGAGAGATTGAGACACAGACCGGTAAGACCACTTAGTAGACAGCCTAGGATGTGGCAAGCATCCCAAGGAGTCCAGCTAAATTGGCTTTAATCCCTGTATCACAATGGGACAGCCTGTCATATATATCAGCAAAGAATTGTGTGGAAGATTTCAGACCTGTGCAATATGCACTAGACAGCTCCCAGACACAGATTAGATTTGTACATCTACCTGTCCATCACTTTTCAATACAAACAACAAGGCAGAGAAGACAGTTTCATAATTTTAAAACATATTCAGTTATGAAGTATTGATGACCTTTTTAAGAAGACAACTAAATTCTGTCCTTCAAGCACACACACTTAAAAGCTTACTTGAAAGGTATTTCAGTGTGCTTGTGCAAGGCTCTTTGCACTGACAGATACCTATTGTGCCAAAGCAAAACAGCCTGCAAAATTAGGGGCTGAGATTTCAAGAGAGAGTAATGAGTTTCATTCCAAAGAATAACGAAGATACAAAACAATGTTTATTGCATGGTTTAAAAAATGTTACTGCTTCATTTAACAATGACTTCATCTTTCTTAAAGAAATCTCTTTTTTTGTTTCTCTTTCGTGGAAGTTTTTTCCTGTCCTACTGAAAACCATTGTATAGGTGGCTGGAAGCAGATTGGTCTAACTTCATCCCCCAACACTTCTAAATGTTTTTGGATGTGTGGTTATCCCAGACATTTCTGTCTGTTTTTCTGGAAAAACTCCAATAAAATTTAACCAAACATCATGGTATTTTTCTTTATGATGATAGTCATGTAAGCATGCAGTATTCAAGATCAATCCTAAGTTTTTGTGTATACCAGTCAAGGACCAGGGTCTGTAGAGAACAGTTCTTTGGTATGCGTGTTCTGAACCTTTTGCATCTACTTTTCACTGCCAATAGGACTCAGGACTGCAAAATCTTCCTGTATTTGTTGTCCCCTTGTTACATATCAGAAAGTAAAGGGCAAGGAGGTAAAGGGCACAAATCAATATTAGCATCTTAAAGGAACAACTTTGAATTTCATTATGTTCACTAATGTGTTACCACCATCATGGTGTATTGATTATAGTTCTCCTTGGCCAGTAGTAATCAGATGACATTTTCAGTGTATGCTTGTATAGCCCTTACTTTATAACTGATATGGTATTTATTGATTAGTAATCAGACACAGACAGTATGAAAATTAATGTGAATCGCTACTTTACATATTCAGCCAACATTTTGTTTCTCTGCACACAATTCCAAAGCATTGCATTCAGTGCCATATTTCTGTGGACATCGGATAATACACAGTCACCCTTCTCTGCCTTTGTTTTCATTTCAGAAAACATATTTATTCAATAGAACTTCAAGATCCTGCAGAAGAAATATACCATATGTTGGCAGTGTACTTCTGGCACACAGTGCTCCCTCAGGCTACTAGCAGATTCAGACAAGATGATAGGTTGCCAGTGTCAAGTGATGATTTCCTGAGGCAGGCACCTAACAACCACCATTTAAAGGGAGGCTAAGGGCACCCTACAGTCCCATAACGACAATATTGTTAATGTCACAACAAAGCACTAGACTAATAATAGGCTCAGGCTGTCTGGAAATCCTATGCATTGTTTCAGTACATGCTGCATATACCAAATTTAGGTATCCAAAACAGAGTTCTTGAGTTAAAAACTTGAATCTGGCCCACTGTGCCAGTGTAACAATCGTTACAGAAATCCTTTTTCACCTCTTCCCTCACTGGAGCATGACAAAAATTAATATACATACTGAGGAGTCTCTGACGCTCCAGCCAGCACAGGGCACTGACGATACAGGCAGACACTGGCGGGTACATTGCATTGCTTTCACTGGAAAGTTCAATACAATCTTTCTATTCTCTTCAGCAAAGCAGCTGCTTGACTCTGGCCTACAAACAGAAAAAACAACTAGTCTCTC